TTTTTGGTTTTTCAAGACAGGGTTTCTCTGTGTAGCTTTGGAGTCTATCCTGGCACTTGCTTTGGAGACCAGGCTGGCCTCGAACTCACAGAGATCCGCCTGCCTCTGCCTCCCGAGTGCTGGGATTAAAGGCATGTGCCACCAACTCCCGGCTCCTGAGTTCCATTTTTAATATCAGTCCTCATGTGCCAGCTGTGCTGTGTTCTCCTCATTCCCTCAGATTTCTGAGCTGCCATGTAAAACGCCATGCTCTGGGTTGGGATGGTCACCACCCCATGGTGACATCAAGTGACATCTGTTGACTGATTTACTTTCACTCTGTATCCATAGCAAGCTCTAGATCCCTGATGAGGTTCATGGTCTGTTCTGCAAGGCAGGATATCATCATGGATGGCAGATGCACTTCCTGTTACATCCTGTCTTGTGTGGCTATGCCATGGTTCAGGGAATGTATGCCGTCCCCCAAGTGCTGAAGCCCTGATTTGCTGTCTGTGTTCACTGTGGGGTTCTCTAACAGCACATTACCAACAGCCATTAGTGACTATGAAGGCTCGACTTGAGAGTCACCAGGGTGCCACAGTGCACTCTCCTTTGCTGGTTTTCTTGTGTGGTGGGAAGAGGGTTAGAGATAGTGTGCCCTGTGAGCCAGGCTGATCTTGACTATTTTTTTTTAACATTTACTTTATGCATTTGAGTGTTTTGTCTACATCTATGCATGTGCCTGGTGCCCAAGGAGGGCAGAGGAGGGTGTCACATCCCCTGGGACTGGATGGTTATAGATGGTTGGGAGCCACCATGTAGGTACTGGGAATCGAACTCCAGGCCTTGGAGGAGAAACAAATGCTCTGAACTGATGAACCATCTCTCCAGTCCCTGCCCTTGAACTCTGGTTTCTTTTGTGTTGGCAGGATTCTAGGCATAGATCACCAATCCCAGCTATTGCTGTTTCTTATGACCCTTAAAAATATAAAAACTGGTGGGTGGTGTTGGTGCACACCTTTAATCCTAGCACTGAGAAAGCAGAGGCAAATGGATCTCTGAGTTTGAGATCAGCCTGGTCTACATGGTATGAGTTCCAGCACAGTCGGGGCTACACAATAAGACACTGTCTTAACAACAACAACAAAAACCAACACACACAACTAATCAGAAGGCTCACCAGGTCAAAACACAAGCCTGAATTAAATTTCTGGAACCCATAACATAAGAGAAAATTGGCTTACAAAATGGTCCTCTGATCTCCACACAGGTGCTACGGTGCAGGTGCCCAACTAACACATGAGCACACACAGAAACACATGTGATAGTCATTTAAAAAATTAAAAAATACAAGAACTATTCTCCGCCTGGGAAAATGGGAGTAGATGTCGGTCTGCACAGAGCAGTCAGGTAAAATGTCTGCTTCTCCCACAGACCCTGCTGGACCAACAGGAGCTGCTCTGTGGCCAGCTTGCCGGAGTCGTTCGCTGCCTCTGGGACCTTTCTGGTACCCCACCCACGCTCATCCGCCTGCGGAAACTCAAGTTTGCCATCAGGGTGGATGGGGACTACCTGTGGGTAAGTCGAGTCTGAAGACATGGAGCTGGTGTGGGAGTGTGGTGTCCTTCCTGTGACTGCAGCTGCTCCTCAGCCCTCGGTGCTCTCCAAACACTGCTATGATGGAAGGCGAGAACCTGCCAGGGCCTCACAATGTCAAGCACCTGCTCCGTGCCCCAGAGCTACACCACAGCCCAACCCCAAAAACCTCAGATACACCCTGCACTGGGTGTGGGAGGTTTCTTTGTGTTGTTTTTACTCATCTGTCTTTGCACATGTCTGGTGTGTGCATGTACACGTGCATGTATGTGTGCATGTGTCTGTGTACATGTGTATGTATGTGGAGACCCGGTTTGCAGCATGCCTATCAGTTTTCCTTGGTGAGCCGCTGGTCTCCATTTTGATGGTGTCTAGTCAGTGTTATCTTCTGTTGCCATTGCCTTCTATAGTCTGAGAAACTATTACCTAGTGTTTTGGTCTCCAATTTTTAGAAGACAAGTTCGATTGTTTTTGCTTCTAAATTTGTGTTTATAAACCCACCTAGACTTCTGTCTGTGGGTAGATGGGTGGTGAGAATAGAGGTCAAGGGTCATTTATTTTTCCACCTGGTTATCCATCATTCGTGCGCCATTACTGAGTTCCTCAACCACCTTTGTCACAAGTCAGGGGACTGTGGGCATGGGTCTGGGTCTGCTTGAAGATTCAGCAAATCCCGCAGGCTGTGATTTTTATAGCTTTGTGTGAGTCTTGGGATGGACAGTGTCTCTCCTGTTGTCAGTCCCTTTCCCAGTGACTCTGGAGAGGGCTGCTGTTGCAGTTAAGTTGTGGGTGTAGAGTCCAGAGTGAACAGTATAGTCCTGGGGTGGGAGTAGGGGCAACCCTTCATATAGCTCCCACCATAGGACAGCCTGGGCTCCTTTCCATCCAGGTTCCTTGATGATGTCACATTCCTAGTGACTTCCTTCCAGCCCAGTGGTTTTAAGGCAGGCTCACATTGTAGCTAAGCACTGCCTTCCAGAGAAGCAGGCCCTGGCCTCAGCGTCACTCAATAGAACTGCCCTCCATCTCTGCAGTGTCTGTACCCCAGTTTAACATGCAGTATACGGGAGGCCATCACAGGTACAGCTCACAGAGCAGGCCTGAGTACACCTACTCCAATCAGGGAGTTGGCGTGAGCAGGAATATGCACTTCAGGTCAGCCCCGTCAGCGGGAGACAAAAGTGCTTGGTGTCTGTAGAGGGCATCCCTGCTGCAGTGGGGTCGGCTTAGCTGCAGAAGATGGGTTTTTAAATCTCTCAGCACATGTAGCAGCAGGTCATGTTATGGCGTTGTCATGCACAGTTGTCTCTTCAGTTGTTCTCTGCTCCTGTTTTTATTACCTATGTATGTTCCATTGTTCTCTCAATTTCCAACCTCCTTAAAAGGGGCTGTCTTGGCCCAGTTTAGTGACCATACCTTTAATCCCAGCACTCAGAAGACAGAGGGAGGTGGATGTCTTGAGTTCTAGGACAGCCAGGTCTACACAATGAGTTCCAGCATAGCTAGAGCTACATAGTGAGACCCTGACCAAAAAACAAAACAAAACAAAACAAAACAAAAAAAACCCTCCTCTTGCCTCCTAATGATCTCCATAATCTCCTTCCTGACTTCATGACTCATGAACCTGGAGAGCTGGCTCAGTGGTTAAGCTTTCTCAAGTACCTGGGTTCAGTTCCCAGCACCCACATGGTGGCTCATAATCATCTGTAATCCAGTTCCAGGGGATCTGACGCCCTCTTCTGGCTTCCTCAAGATGCATAGTGGAAGTAGAGAACCTACTCCTGCAAGTTGTGCTCTGCTGTGACCCCTACCTCTCCCTAAATATAAAAAATACATCTAAGTTCTCTATATAAACATGTGGTATTTATCCTTCCAAATCTTTTTTCATTAAATTTATTTATTTATCTTACATCCCGACCACAGTACAATTTCCTCTCCCTCCTCTCTTCCCACCTCCACCCACAATCCACCCCTTCTCTGTTTCTGTCAGAAAGGGGCAGGCCTCTTATGGGTATCCACAAAGCATGGCATATCAATTTGCAGTAAAACTACGTTCCTCCCCTTATATTAAGGCTGGGCAAGGCAACCCAGTACAAGGAATAGGGTCTCAAAAGCCATTATTTTGTTTACTATACTGATTTCTATTGATTCTGCAGAAGTCATGGTTTCATTATGACTTATGGGTACATCGTGCATTTCGGATCACCCCCGATCTGCTTCTCCCTCCCAAGTGATTGTATGACTGGCAGTACCACACCTGGCATCACATCTTACCAACTCATGTTGATAGTCACTCATTCAGAGTCTGTGTGTGTGTGTGTGTGTGTGTGTGTGTGTGTGTGTGTGTGTGTGTGCTCGAGAGAGCACAAGTGTCCACACCACATCATGCATGCTATGATGGTTGTGTGTAGGCCAACAATTTTCTGGAGTTGGTTCTCTCCTATCATGTAGCACTCTGGGATTGAACTCTTATTATCGAGCTTGGCAGCTAGTGCCTTTATGCACTGAGCCATCTTACTGGCCCAGATGTGTTCTTTAGTTAAGGAAGCTGTCTTCTTTGAGAGCTCTCTGAAAACTTAGGTGGCTAAAGCGGTGTTGGTGTGTTGCTGGTCCCTTTGTTCTCTTTTATTAACCTCCAGGTTTGCTTTTGTGGCAGTGCTTTGCTGGTTGTGTGACCATGGCTCTGTGGTGATGGACCTGGCTTTGCTTCTCATCAGGATCTGTTTTTTTGGTTTTTGGTTTTGCCATGTGAATTTTAGGATTATTTTTCTGAGTTCTTTGAGGGATGTTGTTTGGATTTTGATGGGGGTTGTATTGCTGTGTGGATTGCTTCATACCATTTGTCACTTTCACACTGCACTGGCTCTGAGCTTGAAGGCCCTGTTCTATTTGTCTGTTTATTTAATTTGGTTTTGTAAGACAGGGTTCTCTGTGTGATTGCCTTGGCTGTCCTGGTACTTACATTGTAGACTAGGCTGGCATCAAACTCATAGAGATCAGTTTGCCTCTTTCTCCCAAGTGCTGGGACTAAAGGCATGCACCACCATGGCTGGCTTTCACTGTGTTCTTGACCTTAGTTTGTCAGACTTGGAGGAAATTTTTGTGTTTATCTTGATGAGGGAGATTGGACTGTGTGTTCTTCCCATGTTGTGTCCTTGTCTGCTTTAGGTCAGGGAAACACAGGCCGGCGTTGTGCAGTGAGAGGCGGTGTTCCTCTGATGACGTGGATATTGAGTTTATTAGTAAATAACTTACCTGGAAAACAATAAGTAACTGCCACTGCATTCCTGCTCTGAGGAGACAGACCTTGCTCCCCAATGTTCTCTATGACCTGAAGGGGCTTCTGGCCCCTCTCCTCTTTTCTTAAATGGTCAAGTCCACATCTGTGACTACCCCAGGGAAGAGTTGAGCCGCACACATTGCCTCATGTCTAAGAGTTGTGGTGGTGTTTAAAATGATTGCCAGCTGGAAGACTAAGCTATTTCATGTAGATCACAAAAGGAAGGATGGGATAAACCAGGCCGCACACTGCCTGAACCCAAGGTTAGCCACAGATCTCCTATGGAGCAGCGCCAGGCAGGCCTGCTCACCATCCATCCACCTATTCATTCAAGCCTCACCCAGCATGTTCCGATTAAATACTGTGCCTGTGCTGCATGGAGCAAGCTCACCCTTCCCACTAGCAGGCAGCCTTGTTAGCTGGACTTTCCTACAGGTCACTGACACATGTACCATGCCAATAAAGTGGCAAGTCTGTGACTCAGCAGATGAGGAATCTGGGGACCCCTGGCTACTTGGAAATAGTCAGGAGACAGTAATATATGCAAGGCAGAGAGCGAGCTCTGCTAGGATAGGCTGGCTTGGGGTGATGCTGAGGAAACTGGTGGACATGATGAGGACTGACTGAAATCTCCCTAAAGCCACCATACCAGACTAAGTGTTCATGAGGCGCTGAGACAGGGGCTGGGTGGGGTGCTGGGGTCTGTATCACATAACCTTCCAGCCACCTTTTAGTTCTTTGCTGCTCAGTTCTGACCACTAACACGTACTTGGGGCCACACAGGACACACAGAGCAGTAAATGCTACATAGGAAATTGATGGAGGTGGCAGAGGGGATGGTTGTCCATCAGCTTCAAATACTAGTCCATGGCCACCTGTTGGACCTCCTGGCCACGGTGCCACTCCATCTTAAACCCTTCGGATGCCCTATGCCCAGCAAAATGGACAGCCAGTACTGACACTTTGACCTTAAGTCTTCCATTGTCACACTTCCGTCTTCCACTGTGTCCCCTTACCTTCATGTTTTATTTGTATCGGTAACAAGTAGGCTTTTGTTTTGGGTAATGATAAAGACTTTTATTTTGAACAATAACAGGTAGCTTTTATTTTTCAATAACAGTGTTTAAGAATAAAGCATTTCACATGCAAGTAAATCTGCAAGCCAAAGATACATTCAGCAATTCATTTTCACCACAGTTTTAAATGAGTTCATTTTATAGCTAAGTAAACGTTAAAATTCTACAATGTATTGCCAAGGCTTTTTGCCTGAAAAAAGCAAAAAGGACTGAGAGAGCTGTCTGTATTTTGTCACACAGGCACACACGGCCCAAACCCAGGGCCATACGCCACATCACAACTCTGCAGAACAATCCAGCCTCAGCTGTGCACAAATGCAAAGAACCCATTCCCCAAATAACTCCCAGCACCCACCTAAGACACCAGCCCTACCACTGTGAGATGGGTGACTGTGTGGAAGGTGCCGATTACAAATGCACCTGTTGTCATGAAATCCACACTAGAGCAGGGTTGAGCACCAAAGTCTACACCACAACAGAGAACTTGTCATGGAAGGTATAGAGTCTAAAGAACAAAGCTTCCCTAATGCTGTGAAGCTTTCCATTAGGATAGCCCTTTGGGCTGCTGTGAGGGGACCAAGCCTGAGAAAAAGGCCAGAACCCCTCTGCTCCTCTGAGAAGCTCAGCCCCCCCCCCCACGTCCCCTTGATACTTCTGCTCTCTTTGCATTACCCTGATAGCATCTTCAATTCTTGTGTGCTACCCCCAACTTCAGCTCCAGTCTGCTTCCTGGGACATGGCAGTCATTTCTTAGGATTGGTTCTTGGCTGGCATCCAGTAGACGGCCCCCGGGTTGGGTGAGGAGCAGTCTGTGATTTGGGGGGTCGGCATTCCTGCTGCTGCAGGCGCTGCCTCCCCCGGGCCAGGGCCTCCAGGTACCACTGCTGCTCCTTCCACTGTTGCTTTTTCTGCTCCAGCTTCTTCTTTCTGGCTTCCAGCTCACAGAATTCCTGATCCAGCTGCTGGAGCTGTGTTTGCAGACGCTTATTCTCAGCATTGATATCCTGGTATAAGTCCTTGTGAGCCTTTTTGGCCTTAACCTCCAAGGCCTTGGCCTTCTTCTTCAGCTCCATGGTGATGTCCTCTCCTGACTCCAGTAGGTTCAGCTCCTCCACTTGCTTCTCCAGGGCGGCCCTTTCCTTCAGGAATTGGAAGTGTGCCTCCTGGTCCTCTAAGGAGATGTCAACTACAATGCTGGCTTTCTCCAGCTCTAAGGCCTTGATCTTTTGGTCCTGGCTCCTCTTTACCTGTGCTACAGGACTCAGGGCATTCAACTTCCTCCTGAAATGGCTCTCCAGCTTCCTGCTCTGCAACAGCTGCTTCTGGAGGTCATCTGTGTGGGAGGCGAAGGCAGAGACCAGCTCTTGCCTCCTGTCCTCAATCTCCTGACGCTGCTGCCTGTAATATTTCCACAGGGAGTCATATTTCTTCTGGCTGTCATTCTGCTTGAGCTTCAGAAACTCCAGGAAGAGCTTGTTGTCTGTTTCCTCCAATGCCATTTCCTTCTTCAGTTCCTTGATGTTCATCATCAGTTCTGACCGTCGGCTCTTAACCGCTTCCATCTCCAGCTCTAGCTCACTCATGGTGGCCAGAATCTTCCTCCTCACCCTCTTCTCCCGCCGGGTCAGCAACTCTGGCTTTAGATACCTTTTGAGAATAGCCGCAGGAGTAGACGATGTAGGCTGGGGTTGGGGGTCCACAGCAAACTCTGTTTTGGAATCTAGGAGCTCACTGGGACAGCTCTCCAGGTTTGTGTTGCTGATGCTGACCCCTGAGGAGCAGGCACTGGCCTCATGGACCTGCATGTCAGAGGGCCTTAGGCCAATTAGCGTAAGTACCTCCTCCTTTTCCTTCTGGTCCAGGAGAACCAGTTCTGGCCACCTCACCCGAAATTCGCATATGGCCTTCCTCCTGGCCAGGCAAGGCCTGCAGTGGAGGCCTTGGTATGTAAAAGCAGGCTCCTCCCTTTCAGGAAGTGATGGTGGTCCAGCAGCCCTGCCTCCTTGACTGTCGTAGACAAGGGTGGGTCTTCTGTTCCTGGTGTCCCAGGTGGTATGGTCCTGGCCTTGGGACTCCATATCCCCTCCCCTCCTGGCTGTAGGGCTTTACCCGAGGCTCAGAAACTCAGCACTTTCTCCTGGCTACAGTAGTTCCTTCTGTTCATCCTCCCTGCCCTTCAGTCACGGGTAACCACCTCCCCCAAGCCTCCTAGGGTTGGCCTAGGTAGAGCAGAACGTGGACTGTTGGCCTAGTCATTAACCCTTAGGCGACGGATTTGCCTGGTGGGCGGGGCTTGGGAGGGGCGGAGCTTATGGGGGTGAAGCCGGAGCTGGATAGACCCTGGGCTTGGAGCTCTAAGTAAGGCCGGAAGAAAAGTTGCAGCGACTTGGCGCCTGTGGCGAGCAACACCAGGGCTTTCTCAGCATGGCACAGCAGTTGTGTCGCTATGGGGAGCCAGTAGAGACCCCTTGCACCTGTGACCTACGCTGTACGGGCTGGACAGGAGCCCTGGGAGGGAGGGAAGGCGCCAAGGGCCAAGAGGCTCCAGGCTCCTGGCTCCCTTCGCAGTGCTGTTTGGGTGCAGTCTGAGTCTGTTCCACCGGCTTCGGACTCCCTCCATGATTGCTGGGTTCCCAGTGGCACGAGCGTCCTCGCGATGCCATGGCTGGTGTTGAAGCACAGTATCCCCGGAAGGGAAAGCCGCCCCAGAATTGTGCCCTGTGCAGCCACCTGGTTACAGTGAAAGTAAAACTGAGAAGGCTCGGAGTGTGGAATGAATGCTTTTGGGAAGAACATGGAGGAGGATGACTTCCCATGAGCAGAGCAGCTGCAGAGCATTGTCCACAGCACGGCTCCTGCACTGGTTGGCCCTCCCTGCCATACAGGACAGCTGAGGAACTTCCCCAGGGAAGAAATCACTTAGCTTGTGGCACAGGTGGTTTCCTGCCTCCTAGCAAGGAGGCCCATGGGAGCAGCAGGAAGCAGGGGCAGGTATCATTCTCTCTTGGAGACTTGGAAGGAGGCTTCTGAGACAGGTCATGTGTACCTCATGCCCTTCTCTGTGTGTCCTGGTCCCATTTGCCATATGATCCACCTCTTCCTAGCCTGGGCCCTGACACATGGCATGTCTGTAGGAATTCTGTGTCCCTGAAAAATTCATCGAAGTCTTACTAGTCGCTCACACTTGGCCTTGTGTGGCTTTCTCTCTGTCTGCCTGAACCTGAGCCACTGGAACATCATGACTTGGTTGGAGTAGGAAAATGGCAGTACTCTGGTGGCACACCTACACATAATGCCCTCTGCTGCTCTCAGGGAGAATCCTCTCCCCAGAGCAGGGCTTCTTATCTCTGCCAAAACCCTTTCTAAAGTATCCTTGTGTTTTTATCCATTCACTGGGTTTTATTCCCCTTTTCCATTAGGCTTCTTTCAGATTCTTAGTTTCTATGCTGAAGTTTTGTCCATGATACTGACTTCCCACCCATGCTGTTGCCCGGCTTCCCTTCTACAGTGGACTGACTCACCTGCTCATTAGCACCTTTTGTCCGGTCACTGAAATCTTTTAATCTGCACACGGCATCTTTCCCGGCTGAGTGTCTGTGCTCAGGGATAGAGGTGCCTGTTCTGTTAGGGAGTCGCACAGCCTGGCTTTGTCACTGTGCCTCCCCACATCTGTCGGTTGACAGAGAGAGCACTTACAGTTTTAGGGGGTCATCCTCCTGAGAGGTCTGTTCTGAAGCCACAGGAAGGAGAAACAGGCAGCGGCATGTTGCACATGACACAAATGCACAGGCTTCAACAGGGCCACAAAACCGACGGTGGCAAAGCTGTAGACTGCTATGCTGTTAGCATAACCCCAGCATCTGTGGGGACAGAACATGAATCATAATGAAAATCTTCAAAACATTAGATAAATATAACAAGGAAGAACTAAATACAGTATGTAAATGTTCCTGTGAGTGTGTGCATGCCTGTGGAGGCCGAAGGTCAGTGTGGGGTCTCTTCCTCAGTTGCTCCCCACCATGTGTTTTGAAACAGGGTCTGTCATTATCTCGAGCCCGCTGATTTAGGTAGTTTGGCTGATCAGCCAGGGATCCCCCTGTCTCCACCTCCCCAGTGCTAGGATTTCTGAACTGCACCATCATGGCTGCCTTCTCTTTGAGTGCTAGGTATTAAGCTCAGGTTCTGCTTGCACCACAAGTCACCCAAACACTGTGATCTTAAAGGAAAACCAGTAAGCCTCTAATGCCTCCAGTGTCTCCTCAGAATGCAGAATGGAGGCAGAATACCATTGGTGTGTGCAGATGGGAGAGCAGACAAAACAAAAGGCGCATACAAGGAAAAAAAAATGACAAAACCCACCAAACAAGATTGGGAAAGTCTGAAAATGAGGTTGGACGAATGTGCAAAGGAGATGGCAGATTAAAGCGCAGCTTCAATTCAGTGACAGTTCTGGCAGGAATTCAGTAAGAAAACTGGGGGTAGGGGGGGTGGTCCACGCTCAAAAAGCCAAACACAACCCTCAACAAAAGCTCCATCCACCATGGAGCCTCTTTCCTTTCTTGTTCCAAGCGTCGGGGATGCCTGTTGTGAATACTGAAGGGAAGGGATGAGCCAGGCTTCCCTGTGGCTCACACTGCTGCCCAGTCTGGGTTGGACAAGTGTCCACTGTCCCCATATCTGAGCAGGAGTCAGCTCTGCAGACCACACTCAAGCTTTGTGTCCTTGGGCCAGGTAGAATCACCCTCCCTGCATCCTGCCCACCCTGAGGTGGCTAATGTTCTAGTCTTGGGTGTCGCCCAACATGCATTGGAGGCTATCACAGCACCAGACAGGTACAGCAGAGGACCCATCTTCCTACTCCGAAGACCTTCCAAGTGTTAGTCACCTGCTGGAAGGACGCTCTTGCGGGTGTCATGCACACCCTCCAACTTCAGAGTTCTCGACGCTTTGCAGCTTTGACAGATTTAACTCACCCACTCAGCTTGGGTTGAGAACTTTCAAGCCCCCAACATTACTCTCAATAAGTGAGATCTATTCCTGGCCATCAAGGACAGAGCCGTGTCTCTTAATGCAATTCCAGCCTGTGCCCACCTCCTACCACCTACACCTTTCAGCTTGTCAGTGCCCTGTCTACTGCGGCATGCCACCTCTCTGAGCTTTCCCTCACCTAGGGGCTATAACAGCCACACTAAAGCTCCCAACCTGTGGGTGTCCTGTGACCTCAGGCCAGGTTAGCTCAGTTTTCAAAAGATATCATTCTGCTGTTGTGGGAAACACCACTCTCAGGACAGACACTTGAGACTAGAGCGGAAAATGAAGTTTATTCACACAGGTGCCTCTGGGAGCCCGGAGAACTCGAGGCCCAGCTGCAGTCACTCAGGGCATTTATAAGTTGGCATTCATTTTTCTCCTCATTGGTGGGTTTCAGTTTTGGCTTGTGTGATGGATCACCATAAGGGACTACTGGCTGGGACCATGAGAGATGATTTCCAGCAGCAAGTGGTTACAGAGGCAGAAAGCAGGTCAGGCTGATTCACCAACAGCTTGAGATAAAGCTCCATGGTTTTATTTTCTTGTGGACTCTAGTCTTCTCATAGCCAAGGGCCTCTGCGGCAGATAGTGTGTGTGTGTTGTTTTCCCTGGGGAGATGGAACAGTTGTGGTCCTAGTCAGAGTTACTATTGCTGTGATGAAACACAATAACCAAAAGCAATTTGTGGAGGAAAAGGTTTATTTGGCTTGCACTTCTACATCTGTAGTGCATCACTGAAGGAAGTCAGGACAGGGAGTCAAACAGGGCAGGAACCTGGAGGCAGAGGCCGTGGAGGGGTGCTGCTCACTGGCTTACCCCTCATGGCTTGCTCAGCCTGCTTTCTTATAGAACCCAGGACCACCAGCCCAGGGATGGCCCCACTCACAATGGGGTAAGCCTCCCCACATCAATTGATAATTAAGATGTTCTACAGGCTTGCCCACAGTCCAATATCATGGAGGTATTTTCTCAACTGGGGTTCCCTCTCAGATGACTCTAGCCTGTGTCAAGTTGATATAAAGTTAACCAGTATAGTTATTACTTGCCCTTGATAGGGAGGCCGCGGTAGACCCAAGTATAGATACCACCAAAGCTCCATTTGGTGAGCCAGTGAGTTTACTGGAGTTAGTAACAGGAATATAGGTGTGTTAGGGGGTTCTAACAGGAGTAGAGACAACTCAAAGATGGCTATATCACTAAAGTCCAACCAGCACAGGTGACAGCTCATAAAGCTGTAAACCTAAAGCACTGCATAGCCTACAGGTGGCTCAACAGGCTGGAGAGTGTCCTTCCCTGGTGCCTCAGTTGGTCTGAGCATCTTCCAGGAAACTGGGCTTCTCCAAGAGAGAGAGACTCTTAGCAGTCTTTATCACATATATCCTCTTGGGGAGGGAAGGCCCTAGTTAATCTGCTCAGTTTCAGGAACTTCCTGAAGCTGTTGTGAGTTGTTTCCTTCCTGAGCCTAAGGAGCTTGTCTGCAGGATGGAGTATTTCACTGTAAGCTCTTAAAGAGCTTCCCTCTAAGATGGAAGGTTCTGACTTCAGAGGGAACTTCTGCACAGCATTGTGACAGGTGGGGTTTCCCTCTGCCACTGACTTGTCCCCCTGTCTCCCTTGTGAGGGCTGTGGGCTTGTCCTGGAAGCAGGACTTTGTCAGCTTGCCTGTTGGAAGTGGCTTCTCTTCCCGTGTCCCCACCCATGACCTATGCGGCTCAGGCTGTCTGCTGCTTTCCCAGCTCCTGGATGGGTTTTGTTTTTGTTGTTTTCCTGCTCTTTTCTTTCACTGCGGATTTCTGAAGCTCTTCCCCCATTTCTGTCTTGGGATCAAGTCCATCAATCAAGTGGCTCTTCCTCACTGGTTCACACAGAGCCGCGGTCCTTTGTTTCCAAACTGAGACCTCACACATGCTAGGTAAATGCTCTGCTGATGAGCCATGCCTCAGTTCCTCACTGGGTAATTCTCTAGAAGATGTAGTTTTGGGACAGGATCTCCCAGTAGCCCAGGCTGACCTGGCACATGCTGTGTACATAGCCCAGGCTGACCCTCAGGGTCTCACTGTAGGCCAGGCTGACCTGGCATATTCTCTGTATGTAGCCCAGGCTGGTCATCATCCCTCAGTCTTCCAACTGCTGGGATTGCAAGCTGGAGCTATCCCATCTGGCTAGGTGGGCCTGTGGCAGGTGCCTTGGAGAGCCTTGACTGGTTGTGGCCTCAGAGAAAAGCCACAAGAACTGTCTTTCTGCTCTCCCTCTGCAGGCTCTGGGCTGTGGTGTGGAGCTCTCTGATGTCAGCTGCAGGCAGTTTCTGGATCAACTCATTGGATTCTTTCATTTCTACATGGGCCCTGTCTCCCTGGCCTACAAGGTAGAAGTGCAGATTGCTAGGGGCATCGGGCCCTTCAAAATCAGCACTTGCTTATACCAGGCCTTCCTTGGGCCTGTCTCTGTATTACATGAGCTTGTCTCTGTAATACAGGGCCTGACACCTATAGTACATGGTTCTCCTAGGGATGCCTGTGTCCCCATGTGTCTGTTCTCCCCTCCTCTCTGCATGGGTACCCCTTTCTTCAGGATGTTTCCTGACTCTGTGACAGGGCTGCTGATTGGAGTGAGAGCTAGGACATGTGTGGCAGGGATGGTATGAGACAGGCCCACTGTCTTCTTCCTGTTGGGAAGTCCCCTGCAAGAAGTTGCCACCCTTACTGAAGAGTCTGTGCCCTGATCTCAGGTGCTGACCCCCCCCCCCACTTTGTTTCAGAGTCGTTCTCAGGAGGAGCTGAGCCTGCAGTGGGACACCTTCATCACACAGGTCCTCAGGGGCACCAGTGAGTCACACAGGATCTTCAATGCCCTGTGGAATCTTGACCACACCAAAGTAAGGCTGCTGCCCTCCTGTTCACTGGCCACATGGTGCAGGGCTGTGGGTGTGGGCTGCTGGGACAGGGCTGGGAGGTGCTGCAGAACACCCATGTCAGAGCATGTAGCTACGTAAGTGCAAGGACATGTGTTTTCCAGTAGAGCAGTTGATGAACAATTTCCATGCTGCTACAGGGGTGAGGCAGGCTGCCTCTCAGACCCTCGGTGTCTTCCTGATGGATTAGGGGCCTTGCTTCCAGGACCCCTCTGAAGGCCAGTGAGGCTGCACCAACAGGCATCAAATAAATGCTCAGGGAATGGAGCGTCATCACCTCTGAACTCAGAGGCCTGAAGGCTCCTTCTCTCTCCACACAAATGTCATGGTTTTAGTGACTCCATCAAAGTGCCTGGCTCACATTTTGGCTCATTTGCATGTGAGAGAGGCAGGAAGGTTCTCTCTCTGAACCATTGCACTTCCCATTCTCACTCACCTAATGAGCACTGCCTGCTGTGTGGCTGGCCTGTGTACCATGTATCTCATCTCTGTAGCTTTCATGCCACTGCCGAAGAAAGCAGCTGGGACTCAAGATTTCCAGAGCCCAAGGTGCTAGGCGTGGGCTAGGGTTTTCCCACTTCTGTGGACAACTCTGGAGGCCAGTTGCTACTCAACACAATCTGGAGCTGTGAGAGTGAGGTCACCCTGTGCATCTGGCCTTTCTTACTTAGTCCTGACTGCCTGGTTCACATCAGTGCTGGCAGCCAGGCAGGAAGCCGGGAAGCTGCAGTGTCTGGGAAGTTCTGGACAGGCTCATGTGATCTTCATGGTTGAGCAGCTGATTCCTCATAAGAACTGTAGGGTGGCTATGGGCTATGATTCCCTCAGATGGTCTCTGAAGCCCTGCTTCACTGTTTACCCCCAGGCACTTGTAATTGCACTCAGGGGCACATGTATTGTCTTCTCCAGGTGGAGCCCCTGCTGCTGCTGAAGGCAGCCCTCATCTTGCAAACCTGCCAGCGCTCTCCGCATGTCCTAGCTGGCTGCATCCTCTACAAAGGACTGTGAGTTATGTCCACCTGGGTCCCCGCTGGGCTCCCACCCACTGTCCTCACTAGTTCCAATCAGTGTCTGCAGTTGTTTAGCAAAGGCCGGGCCACTTAGATTGGCTGAGGGTGCATCACTGTGCAATTGGGAACTGTGCAGGAGAGGGACCCTGAGGTCCTCGGTTTGGGTGTTTTGTTGAAATGTCAGTGGGCAGGATGCAATCCAGAGCCCCACTGTGGGCAGCAGCCAGACCTGTAAGTAGAGGCTGCTACCCAGCTTCTTCCAGTGTCCACCAAACTCACCAGCTTTCTTCATGATGGGAGAGCCCAGGACCCTACAGCCTCTCGTTATGGAGCATTTGTGCTCACTGCCCAGACAGGCTGGGCCTTAAGCAGGGCTGAGAAGCATGCCTCGGCTGGTGGTCTTCAGAGTGGGAGTTGAAGCCCTGTATTCTCTTCCTCTCTGCTCTGCCATCTTGGAGAGGTAGCCCCAGTGTCCTCTCCCAGGAAGTGGAGAGCTTTGCACAGACACCCCACCCACCCTGAGCATCACTCCTTTCCTCTCCCCATTCTCCTCACGGTGACTCTGTAGGCCACTTTGACAAGGTAGTGTTTGTGGGCAGCCAAGGTGGCTCACTGAATAAAGGTGCTTGTGACCAAGCCTGGTAACCTGAGTTCCGTTCTGAGACACACATGGTGGAAAGAGAGAACTGACTTCTCCAAACTGTCCTCTGACCTCCATAGCACTTGCCTGTGAGTGCATGTGTGCATGTGTGTGCACAGGCACACGCCACATGATAAATATTTAAAACATTTAAAAATATTACTTGTTTTCTCACTCATATTTTCTTTCTCACATACATATATATGTACTTATATATATTATATGTGATATATATGTGTGTGTGTGTGTGTGTGTAATAAGTATATACACACCCTTTTTTTGAGACAGTATTTCACCATGTAGCTCTGGCTGTCCTAGAATTCTCTGTGTAGACCAGGCTTGCTTTGAACTCCCAAAGATAGGCTGCCTCTGCCTCCCAATGCTGAGATTAAAAGCAAGTGCCACCATGCCCAGTCCTCCCTGTGTACCAACTGCACAGAGAGTAGAGGCTCTTCTGCTTTGCTCTCAGCTATGCCTGTGGCCAGCAGTGTGGCAAGCAGCACCACACTGCACACCTGTCCAAGCTCCCACACTGATTCCTTCTGTTCTCTGTGCAAGTGGGACATAGCACTCAGGTCTTGGCATGTGCAGTGGAAGCACTTTTGCTGCTGCTGGTTTTTGATGTTCTCACCGTACATGGAGCCCAGGCTGACCTAGAGTTCAGAGAGGAGCATCCTGACCTGCAGTTGCCCCAACCTCCTGCCCTCTGAATGCTGGGTATCTTTGTACTCCAAGTGGTTGGCCAGTGCACACAGGTGGCTTACTTGTGTTTTTAACATGCCTTACCATCTTCTCTGTGATGAGTAGCCATCTGACACCTCATCCCTGCCTGATTGGAGAGCTTACATTTTGACTGTCAGTGGGACCTGCAGAACAGACAGCTCTTCACTGACGATCTACCAGATGAAACTCCTGCCAGCCACATCCCCAACATCCTCCACCTCCAGGGACACTGTTGTCCCAGCACTTCCTTTCATCATGTTCTTATCCCTGTGTCTTACTCCCAGGATTGTGAATTCCCAGCTCCCTCCTTCCCTCACCGCCAAGGTCCTGCTTTACCAGACTGCCCCTGAAGACCAGGTACAGTACAGTCTGCAACCTGCTGGGAGGCTGACCGAGAAGCCCTACCATTTAGCCTTGGGGGGTGGCCCTACATGGTGGACAGGTCTAGGGCACTTGCTTCATGGAATCTGTCACAACTCTTCATGTGTTGGTGTGGTCAAGGAGTAAAGCGAGGGTAAAAGCAAGCATTTATCCTGTGTGGTGGTGGCCTTGTGCACTGGTTCTTAAAAGCCAAGTAGAGCTATGTTCATTTAGCTCCCACTAGCATAGTGTTGCTGACAGAGAGCACTGTAAAGAATGTATTCTTAAATCTACAGGAAAGCTGCTGGTTATGGTGCCATATACCTCTTGTGCCAGCCCTGGGAAGCTGAGGCTGGACAATCATGAGTGCAGAGCTACCCTAGGCTACATACTGAGATTCTGTTTCTAAAACTGAAGGAAAGGAAGAAGAAACAGAAGGGAAGGGCATAGGGGAACATATAGCTTCATGTGCATTCACTGTGTGTGTGTGTGTGTGTGTGTGTGTGTGTTTGTGTGTGTGTGTGTGTGTGTGTGAAGATCATTGAGAATAGAATTGCTCACAGGCAGGTGGCATGGTAATGCACACTCCAAAGGCAGAGGCAGGTGGCTGTCTGTGAGTTTGAGTGTCCAGCCTGGTCTACAAAGTGAGTCCCAGGACAGCCAGGGCCACACAGTGAGACCCTGTTTTGGAAATAGAGAGCCTATGCTGTTGTCTGGGTGACAGCAGTTCCCATCTAGACTCTGTCTCTCTTTTAAATTGTTTTGTTTTGATTTTGGAGATGGGGTTTCCATCAGGTAGCCTGGGCTACATAGAGAACTTCTTATCCATCTGCCTCACCTCCCCAGTGCTGGGGTCCCAGGCTCATCCACCAGCCTGGCTTGTTTTGTGAACTTCTGTTTCAAGTGCTTCTCTGGCCTCTCTCTCACCATGAGAGTGAGTAGCCATTCAGAACCTGGGTGGGCTCTGGCTTCCTGTGTGTGGGTGGTGTGTCCGGAGGGCCGCCTTCACCTTCAGCCATTTAGAGCTTTAAGATGCCCTTGCCTGTCTCCCCTGACTCGGCTTCTGGGAATCCACCCTGAGGATAGACAGCCCTCCTAGCCTGCTAGGGAAGCTGGTGGGATTTGACTGCCTGAGGGCGCTACAGACTGGTCTGCTGGTATTACGTTACCATGTGTAGTTGTGTCAAGCTTGGAGCAGCAGCCAAGGTCAGTGGTTGGGACCGAGGCTTACAGCCCCTAAGGCTGGAAAGGTGTTTTCTCACCTGTATGGAGGAACGGCTAGTGTCTGGTCTGTAGCTGACAGTCAGTTGATTTGCACGAGCTGCTGCAAACCCCCTCAGGTCTTAGCCAGAGACTTGAAAATGAGTGCAATCACTTCAACTGTTTTAAGTGGAAATACTGAATTGAATTTATGTCTCAAAGTAGTAAAGGGCACTTACTAAAAAAGGAAATTCCCAAGTATTAACAGGACTGTGAACTTTAGGGAGAGAGGATATAAATTTGCTTATTGTTTGCTTATTGTTGCTGGGTATTGGAGTCCAGGGCCTTGAGCTTTGCCGCTGGGCTGTATTCCCAGCCTCTGGGCTGTATTCCCAGCCTCTATGGCTGTACTCTAGCTAGGTTCCCAATGGTGGACTCAGGTGGGGAATTTTTGCTTTGGTCTTTCATGGGAGACACTTAACATTTCAGAGTTGCCACTTTGAAGCCCCAGTGGGCCCAGTTCTTGCCTCAAGTGGCCCCGCTCCATCTGCTTGGGCTCTTGGCACAGGGTCACACCAGCTCCCTGGGCTTGGCTGACTCCTGTGAGCAGATGGTGCCATGAATTCCTAATGGTTGTCAAGAAGAGAACGTGGTATCTGGTACCAATCCGTGTGTATGTTTGTTTCAGAGACTTCCTGGAGCAGGAGCTCCCCAACAGGAAGCAGGTACGTTGTGTGTGGTGGGCAGTGGTGTGCTGCCTTCATGCTGGGATCAGCCAGGGAGAGGGCATCCAGCCTTCTGTATGGATCTCCTCTGCTTATAGATCAGACAGATAAGATGGGTCTAGTATAGCTAGACAGACAGTTGCCCTTTGGCACTCTGCTTTCCAAGGTTTTGGGCATGCCCTCCTTCAACTTCATTTTGTAACATTGCTTAGACAGTGTCTGAGGTGTGCTGATGGCTACCTCCTTCACATTGAAGTGGCGTCCCCAAGAGGCTCTGGCTGCATTCTAAAGCCTGAATTTGCCGACATCATGTCTGATGTGAAGTGCCACAGTCCTCTTTTCCTACCACTCACGTATCTAGGCTGCAGCTCCGGGGCTTTGGGCTGAGGGTACAACCCTGGTGCTACTTTCTGAACCAGGTGTGGTGTTAGTGAGACATGTGAGTGCCAAGGGCCCACCTCATCCCAGGGGAGCCCTGCCACATTGGTTTTATTTGCAGGAGCAGCATTGCCCCCCAATGTGCAGATCACCCCAGTTTTTCTGAGTGAGGAGGAAGTTGCTAGCCTCCATGAGTTCACAGTGGAGCAGAAGACTAGGTAGGTTCCTTGTTCCTCTTACGGCGTGTGCACTCCCCCACTTGTATCCTCCACTGCCTTGTAAAGGTGTTGATCAGAGCTGTCCTAGCCTCAGGAGACACGGCAGACTCAGTGTAACACCCATTGTGGAGCCACACTGGTCAGTGACCCTGGCCTCATTGTGACAAGGCCCTCACCAGTCATTGCCTTTATTTACTTTCGTGGTTTGGCCATGGTGGCATCTACTTGTCACTGATGCCTGTGCCTTTCAGGGATCGGAGCCTCAGTGTCCCCATGGAAGCCTTTGTCCCACACTCTGCTGATATGACATTTCTTTCATTTGCCAGACTCCAGGAAAGTTCATCTCAGTACCCTCCCTGGGATCGAAGCACCCCTACCCGGGCAGAAGATGCCTGGACATCAGCCACCATCCTGGAGCCCACACCCCATGATGGAGCATGGCTGAATGGCAGAGGGGCAGATGGACACTTGCTTGGGCATGAGCAGCAGGAGCATGCAGCCGCTGCAGGACTGTGTGCCACTGCCTGTGGCCCGGGTTCTGGCAGCAGCAGCAGCAGTTTGCAGCAGGAGCTGGGTTTTTCCCAAGAGGAACTGGACTTGTCTGAAATCCACATCTCCGAGGCTCAGGAAGCCTTCTCACCCGCACCTGCCCTGGGCGATCAGGAAGCTGTCTTCACCAGCCACCAGGCCCCCACGCTGCCTGAAGATACAGCAGTGTGCAGCTGCCTGGACCCTTCTCCTCTTGAGAGGCTCCCTGAGAGCAGAGGGCTGGAACGGCTTACAGACCTTCCCATCTCCAACGGACAAACCCAAGTTCCTGGCATGGACCCTCTCCCCAGAAGAAGCAGCAGGCCTGCGGTACTTCCTCCCCAAGATCCTGGTGCAGAGCAGTATAGGGATGGAAGCCATGAGCACCGTTCAGCTCTAGCATGCACTTTGTACTCAGGGGACTCTCGGGGCCCCAGCACCCCTGCAGACAGAATTGGCTTTGCGCCATCCCCAGCCGGGCCCTATGCAGGGCTCTTGCCCATGAACCTCTACACTCACAGTGTCAATGGGCTGGTGCTATCCCTGTTGGGTGAGGAGCCTCTTCTCAGAGACACTGCAGCCATCGAGGAGGTGGTGAGTGTCCCTGGGCTCCTCTGTACCCTCACCTTGCTCCTAGGAATATGGACTAGCCAGCTTTCTGAGAAGACCTCCCCCCTCCCCCTGCCCCAACTTGTATAGTGAGGCTGAGTGTAGTGTACACTTTTGTGAGGTTTTGTGGGTGTGTAAGAGTGAGCCACACGTGCAGCATAGCACAGGCAGACAGTATTGGGCTTTTGCTTTTCAGCTTCCCGCAGTCTCTCAGAGCATGGGTGTTGGGGAAGGGAAGAGTGAATCAGAGTGTCTTGCACACAGCTCTCCCCTCGGGGCCTTGTTTGCTTCTCAGTAGCCTGAAGTAGTGTTCAGCCTCCTACTCTGAGGCAGTGAGGTCATGCAACCAGAGACTGCAGGCTAGGCTGAGCTGCCCTGTTCCTGGCTCAGCTCCTAGCTGAGGCACTGTTACCAGCATCTGTCTCCTGCAGCATGTCACAGCCTGAGGTGGAGGGTCCCAGGAACCCTTCATTTCCTTCCTAGACCCAGTCTCACATGGTGACTTGGTGCTCCTTTCCAGAGTACACTTGAATTCCAAACTGACTGTGGAGGGTACTTTTTGAGTAGCCCACCCCTTCCCAAAGCAGTGAATTGAGCTCTTGGGTCTAGGCCCACGCTGGCTGGCTATAGAGTTGCTATGGTAACAGCCTTGCTGTGGTTGGCAGGAAGAACAGTTGCTACAGGGCAAACGGTGTTCTGGGGCTCCACTTGTGTTTCCTCTTAAATCCACATTATTCTGAGGCAGTCTCATTGGCATGCATGCCTTACGGCCCTCCACTGGGGAGCCAGTCACCTTGGAGCACAGGACAGGCTGCTGGGCAGCTTCTCTCTAAGCCACCTGACTTTTCTTCCACAGAGCCTGCCCATGGCTCAGAGTTGAGGCTTGTTGCATGTGTCCTCATTTAGCATAGCTATGGGTGGCCGTGTCCACCTCTGCAAAGGGCCCTGGCTACAGCTTCACACAGGGCAGCTCTGTGCCTCGGCTTCCCCAGTTCTTACTGTGCTGAGAGCCTCAGAGGTGTTTGTTTCGAAGACTGGCTATTTGCATGCAGCAAAATAGAAAGTTCCTCTTTTTGCCCTGGACCTCCCACCCCCACCCTCTGAAGAGACCCAGCCCAGGGTGCCTTGTGGGGGGCTCTGCATGATTATATGTCAAGCTGGCTGGCTGTGTTAGCCAAGCTGAGGGTGGCTCTGGAAGGCAGACACTGCAACTCCTGTCCTGGGAGGAAAAGAGCCTTGTGAGGTGGAGGCCATCCAGTTCCTGAATTCCCATTGATTCTCACCGCCCAGTCCTCACTCCTCTGTCCCCAGGCTTGTCTGCTCTTGCCAATAGGTTAGAAGATGAGAGGAGAGTGCCCTGTCCTCTGTAGCCATTTGTAAAGGCCAGCTACAGTGTTAAGACCACAGCCTCCAGCTTGCCTGTAAAGTAGGGTTGTTGCTGTTAGGCCCAGGAAATGGGCTGCTGGGTGTGGGAGATGGAGGCTAGTGGTGCCGTCTAGACCAGGGAGTTGCTGACTTTGAGCAGTGTGCTGATTTAAATGAGTGAACTTGAATCAGACAGACCCCAAGGAGAGGCTTGTTACCATCCCTGTCTTAAGCAGACTAGACTTGAGTTGGGAATGCTTTACCTGCTCTCTTGGCAACTCTGCTGGGTTCTGGAAGGCAGACACAGTCTCTGCAGCATGGTCCCTCAGGCTAGCCAGCCAGAGTTGCACAGCCTGCTGAAGAGGCTGTGTCCACACAGACCTGCACAGCAGGTAGGGCAATGGGGTGACAGGCTCCTGAGTCTGGGAGCTGTGCTGTCAAAGGGAAGTGCAGGAGGCTCCTGCCAGGGGACAGCTTAGTGTCCCTGAGCCTGGTTTTCAGCTCTGTGCCCAGGATATTCCCATGGGCCCTCAGTTGCAGGAAGACAATGAACTATTGCTACATTAGGCTGTGCAGGGGGCATCAGGGTATGAAGGGTGTGGTTGTGGCCTTCTGTGGCCACCCTGTAGACATCTCACAATACCATTAACAAATATAAACAAATGCTGTAACAAAAAGTATCCTCAGTTGCTAGACTATACCAAAACAGATCACCTGGGTTTAACCAGGGCCCTGTTTCTTTGACAACACTTAGTCATCAGAGAAGTCTCCTCCACATTATATCACATGTCTCAAGATGGTTTATGGTTAAGCAACTCTATCTTGATTACAAGTTAGGCAGACAGTTTTAGAAGTAGAGCCTAATACATTTAGAGCCAACAGGATTTAGTTGACCCTGTCTGGTCTAGTTTTTCTTGTCTCTTGTAAGCAGTTTGAGGGGTGGCTGTTATCAGGTCCCTGAGATCCAAAAGGTATAGTGCAGTTGCAGGGTGAGCTCCCTGGGTGTCCCAGTGCCCCTTACACACAGCTGCAGGACAAGCTCCTCTTGGTGTCCCATTGTCATCCCACACCCGATGCACACACGACTTTCAAGCCTAGGCTTGTTTGTGTCTGCTAACCCAGTATTGGTAAGTGTCCCGACTGTCAGGGCAGACAGGGCTCTACATACACCTGTTTTCCTCACCTGTACACTTGGTTGGAGTTCCTGGCACTAGCTGTGTTTGTCCATCATTCGTGGGAATCTGTTCACACACTGCTTACCTGCTGGAGCTCCTGAGACAGAGTGTTGGGACTCGTTCCTACAGCGTCTCAGAGCCGCTGAACACAGGCGAGAGATTAACCCATAAGGAACTTCATCCAGGTCATGTTGGGAAACACTGGGAACACAGTAGGCCACCAGCATTGTTAAAGCAGACAGTTCCAGAGCTGGAGAGATGGCCCAGGGTTTAGAGCACTTGCTGCTCTCCCAGAGGTCCAGAATCCAGATCCCAGTGCCCATATGAGGCAGCTCACAGCTGCCTGGAACTCCAGCTCCAGGGAACCTGATGCTCTTCTGGCCTCTGCACACATAAGGCAGATAAATTAAAAATAAGCAAATATTTAAATAAAGCAAAATGGATAGTCCCCTGGGGGCTTCTGGGAAGACACAGCTAGGCAGCCACAACTGGGTGGTGACATCATGGGTAATTTTTCTTTTCTCTTTCCTTTTGTTTCTTTTTCCTCCTCCTTTTCTTCCTTTCTTCCACCCATGATGGCCTCAAATTTTTGATCCTCCTTCATCAGCCTCCTTCCTGAGTGCCAGGGCTCTGGGTTAGTACTGCTATGCTTCACTCATCTTTTCTTAAATTAGAGCCTATTCATTTTATCATCACACAGTATGACCCTTAGATGACAAACATTAGACTATGGAGCTGGAGAGATGACTTAGCAATTAAGAACACTTGGCTCTTGTTCGGGGGATCTGAGTTCAATACTAGCACTAGTGGACAGTTCACAGTTGCCTATACACCTGCTCAAGGAATGTGACAGCCTCTTCTGAGTTCCACGTGCATTCATATAATACATGGCATACACAGATGCACTCACATGAAAAGAAAAATGTGTGTGTGTGTGTGTGTGTGTGTGTGTGTATGTATGTATGTATGTATGTATGTGTATATGAACATAAGCAGATGGGGATGTTGCACACCTATAATCCATGCAGCCAGGAGGCAGAGGCAAGAGGCTTTCCACAAGTTCGAGGCCAGCCTAGTCTACATGGTGAGTTCCAGGCCAGTCGGGGCTGCACAGGGAAGCCCTGTTTCAAACAACAGGAACATGTATGGAACTTGATGCCTCAGGCAGACACTGGCTACTTTCGCTAGGTCTAGTGACCACTGAGGCATCGTCTAGGTGCTCACTTCTTAACTGGGTCTGCCACCCTGTGACCCACTCCTGGCCCCTCTGCAGTACCACAGCAGCCTAGCATCCCTGAACGGGCTGGAAGTCCACCTGAAGGAGACACTACCCAGAGACGAGGCCTGCCCCACAAGCAGCACATACAGCTTCGTGCATTATGACCGAATCCAGAGCATGCTCACAGGTAAGAGGCAGGTTCAGGGAGCCTAGCTCCACATGGGTGGAGGGAGAACCCAACCCCAGTCATGGCAGTGCTGCAGCACACAGCCCTCTGGCCACAGCTAGGGCACAGACACTGAGCTAGCTGACAAACACTCATTTGCTCTTTTTCTTGTTTGCTAGTTCTCCAGTGGGAACTTGTGAGTTTAAACATCTGTGGCAAGGTCGGCCCCAGCACAGGAGCTCCTGTGGCTGACAGTGGGGCTGGCACCTGGGCTGTTGGCCCCCAGGTCTCTCACCCACACTCAGGCTTCAGCCACACTGCCCCCATGCCCAGGACTGGGCTCAAGGAGTCAGGGAGGGCTGCCATTCACCACCTCTGTCTCCTTCTGCAAGCCAACCTGTCTCTAGTGGCCGCTCCCCAGGACCGTCGCTTTCTGCAGGCCATCAATCTTGTACACTCCGACTTTGCCCAGCTGCCTACGCTCTATGAGATGACCGTCAGGTGAGCTTCTGAGTCCCCACCCCACCCCAGCAGCTTTGCCTCCAACCTCATCACTTGGTGGTGACTATGGTTGGTCCCTTTGGAGGCCATCTTCCCATGTACACACAGAGCCTGCTCTAAATATGCAGGTCACAACAGTGACAAAACCCTAAGTCCTCACTGTTAGTGCACGAGGCTGCGCCATTTCTGAGGGTGGGCCAGACAACCCTACAGGCTCCTGGTTACAAACAAAGTCCCTGAGGAGATCTCAGAATCAAACATTTCTCCAGTGCCCACCAGCACCAGAACCAGCCCATGTCTCCGTTTGTGGTGGTACTCCAGGGCGCTGCATCTTAGTTTTTATCCTCCGTGGCTGAGACAGACAGCACAGGGTTCCATTTCCTTCCCTGTTGTCATTCTATCTCATCTCCCAGGTGTCTGGTACGGTCCGTGGACTATCCCTGAAACTGGATGATTAAACAAGCTGTACCCCTTCTCTCCATGCTTTCTGAAGCTAGTTTTGGAAAGCCGGACATGTTAGAGGGCTGGAGGGAGAGCCTCCCCTACCTGCTCCACCAGTCTGTCGGCTCTCAGAACTGGCTGTGCAAGCACACTTTTCATTCCTCTCCTAGTGAGAAATGTGAGCATGTGTGGGGAGGACAGTGATGTCCCAGGTCATAGTCTCATGAAGCCCAGAGTCAGGGTTGGACCGCGGGCCTCCATGACTCTGAGAAGCATGCTCTTTCCCCATTGGTCTCACTAGTTGGGTGAAGACCATGGGTTGGGACTCAGTGGGAAGTACACGGAACCTTGATGATGAAATTCTCATGTCCTGTCACTTGCCACACTGATGCCAGATGTCTGCCCTGGTGACATCTGTTGCTGATAGCACAGCCTGTCCTCTCTAGCTGGCAGCCAGAGTGTGACTTACATCTGTAGCCACTGCTCTGGGACCTGGGTGTGCTGGGTGTGTGGCTGTTGAGTGGGAGGTGGCAGCAAGCAAATGCTGACATCTGCTGTGATGGCTGCTGTATTTCACCTTCCTAGGGCTGAGAGGGTTCAGTGTGGAGTTGAGCCCAAGACATGCTGGGTGGGTTCTCACCACAGTGATGCGGACACAGATCATTGGCACGTGCTAAGGAGAGCACACAGACTCTGTGGACATTGGAATAAAGCCAGGGGCTTCCTGCTTGCCAGTAGGAGGGCTGGCATTGCCACACAGGTGTGACTGGAAGGTTTCCCCACCAGGCCATACTCCCCTTGAGCTTTGAGAGAAGCCATCCCGAGGAATGCCTCACAGGAGCTAAAGAAACTATGCCAGCCAGGTCCTGCAGGTGCCTGGGGCCTGGAAGTTCCTCCTCCCCATCCAGCAGGAGACAGCCGAGGGAAGGAGCCTTAGTAGCCCCTGACTCAACTATTGCATTCTAGAATCAGGGAAACTGAGGTTTGTTAAGCTAAAGCCTCGAGACAGGAAGAAGGGGGGTGGCAGAGGTGATAGGGTGGGTCCGTTAACAGGTGAGAGTCTCTCCCCCTGGTCCTGTTCCCAGAAGGGCAGATTCCGCCAACAGACAGTTTAATCTGAAGCTTTCTTAGCAGCATGGAGAAGCCAGTGCAGGCTGTCCTGAAAGTGGGGGAGCAGCATAATGGATACTGGTTGTGGGTTTTTTAACGTGTGTGTGTGGGTGGTACGATACGATATACATATCTCTCTGTATGTGATATGTGTGTCTGTGTGTATGTGATGTGCATGTGTCTGTATGCATATGAATGTGTGTGATGTGCATGTCTGTGTTGTGTGTTCATGTGTGTATGCATGTCTGTATGTGTGCAGTGTACATGTGGAGGTCAGATGATAACTTGAAGGGGTTGGTACTCTCCTTACACCCTGTGGGTTCCAGGATGGAACTGAGGTTGTCAAGCGTCCCTATGGCCCTGCATGGTGGATTTGTAAGGAGTTCTTATGAATATTTATGAGATGGGTGGCATATTCATGGGTTAAATTACCCCTTTTCTTCCCAGATTTCCCCGTTAGGGTATTTATTCCCAGGTTTGGGGAAAACAGCACAGGGATATGGGGGATTGAATCTGCAAGGAAAAGGTGCTGGTGTGGATGCTGTGGACCCTTGGGTAGTGTGCCTGGGCGGTGTGGGAGAGTTCCTGAGGGGTGTGGCTTCAAGGATATGGGACCTAGGAGCAGCATGCTGTCAGGAGCTCAGCTACCAAGATGCAGCTGCGGTTTCCTTGGCTACCCCACGCCCACCTTCTCGAATACCCATTGCAGGTTCTCTTGTGTCATTCCCTGTGGGTCCAGGTTTCCTGCCTTCTGTCACATCCCATTCCTCTGTCACCTTACAGACATCAGAGTAGAGCAGCATCAGCCACCCTCCTAAGCCCAGGCTCCTTGGCTGGTGGGTGGGACACGAGCAGGGCTTGATCTGCTGCTGCTATGGGAACAGCAGCCTCAGCGTCCATTTGTTCAGTGACTTCACACCCTGGCTGCAGCCACCTCAGGCCACCATGCATCATTCCAGCCCCCAGTGAGCTGGAAGACAGGACAGTTGTTAGTCAGGCTTGCAGCAGGCATTAGGGGTGCTGGGGCAGCCAGCCAGCACCCACACTGGCACCCCTGAGCTATTGTCCTCTTTCCTCCGCAACAGGAATGCCTCTACAGCTGTGTATGCCTGCTGCAACCCTGCCCAGGAGACCTACTTCCAGCAGCTGACACCCACCACCCGCAGCTCCGGCTTCCCAAACCCTCAGGATTGTGCCTTCAGCCTTGCAGGCAAAGCCAAGAGGAAGCTGCTGAAGCATGGAGTGAACCTGCTGTGAGGCAGCCGTGCACAGCCGTGTATCACCTGGGCTGTGCAGCAGCCCCTCCTGACTGTCCCCAATGTTGAGGGTTGAGAAGGACCTTGCTCTTCAGTAGCCGCTGCATGAGAGTGAGAGGGCTCAGGTTCTGTCAGGTGTAAGTGGCTTCAATGAGGTGCAGAGCAGGCTGCAGGCTGCAGCCACAGGAATCTCAGCTGACAGTTCACTCAAGCTACCTATGGTGCTTTGCAACCTTGTGATGCTGCATTCCAAGTGTATGAAACAGATTCCCAAGGTCTCAAAAATAAAATGACCAAACTGAGTTCTGTGTAATCAGCATTTCCATGACAGAATGAAGGGCAGTGTACAAGCTTTACATGGGAGTGTGCACATGCAGTTAACTCCATGTCCCTGTTCCACACTGAGGAGTCCAAGTCGCTTCTGTTAGAGCACAGAGCGTCTGCATAGAACCCATATACACTGACCTATAGACTGAACTCATCTCAGGTGATTGACAGCACCAACCTCACAGGCCTGCTGTGGAGGGAGTTTCTGAACTGTGTTGTTGGGTCTGCATAGTGATAGTGCATGACTTCCTTTCCCTTCTATGTTTGGGCTCACCGGTACAGAACCCATGGAACTGGAGGGCTGGCTGTATGTCTTTCCCATGGACTCTTCACACCAGTGTGTTGTCTTCAGGGTCATAAGCCACTGTGACCTGCAGTCTCTTCCTTTCCCTGAGGCCCCTCCAGCTGCTGACAAGCCAGAGGCTGACCGCCGTGGTCAGGG